GAGTTCGTGTAGTTGACGTCGGGGCCGAGCTCGTCGGGTGATAGCCGGAACAGGGTGCCGGAGAGCGTCTCGTGCCAGGCTTCGTCGAGCTCGGGTCGCGGGTCCCCGCTGAATTTGTGTGCATCGGGGGCGTGGCGGAGGGATCGAGTGATGTGTCTCACCGGAGCGGGCGCTAATTTTGTGTGCGCATTTTAGTACTTTGGAAGGGAAGATAAGTGAGTTATTAGTGACGCACTGTATGGCCTCGCCAGCTCACACCCCATGGACAAGCTAGAATGAGAGTAGAGGAGACGGACAGAGCCCCCGGTAAGGAGAATAGTTACTGAGAGGGAGGAGATGAGAAGAACGAAGAAGCGCCGGCGCCAGACAAGCTCCTCTCTCACGCTCGAGTCTGTGGGCGACGAGCCATGGTTTAAGCCTTTGTCATGAACTCGTGGCTCAGACCCAAGCTTTGAGTATTGGCATTTTTCGTCTGTGAGGAATGGCATTGTGTGGTTGAGTGAAATGCAGATTATGGACTTGGGGGTGAATCCTGTAGTGAAAGAATCTACGAAACGAACAGTGAGAGGCAAAGCAGGCAAACTTCTTGACTTCGTAGAATCAAAAGGCCAAGCCAATGATAAGATGATTGGTATCCGTTGGGAACATGCATGCCGTCAGGGTGTCATTCTGGGGCGTGACAGGTATGCTTTGTCATCGCCTCCGTCATCACCTTTGAGGGTCTGTCATCGTGTCATGTTATCAACCGTTCCCTAGTACGATTTGCCGAGTTAGGTAATGGCCAAAACGGTATGGCAAGTGAAAGGTTGTATTCAACTTGAAAGTCATGTGCTTGGCAGAGTGGTGTGTGTTTTTATTCGATATCGATGTCATTTGGTTCTCACAAGGTGCTTCAACCCGAGGCTTGGCGCAGAAAACCGATGCATGATGACGGCAGAATGGAGGGTATCACAGCATTATCTCGGTCAGTAAGCAACGAATTTTGACATCGGGATGGAGGGGAATGGTAAGCATCCCAGTGAGAACTTGTGTGCTCTTCGATAGAAAAGGGACAAGTATTCCCAGGAATGATTGACACACAGAACACTCTAAAGAAAACCAGCTCTAAGCTACCTCAACTGAAGCTATACCTGCAGACAATATGAAGGCTTTTACTACCCTGCTAGTCATCTCCGTCTCCGTCATGTCGGTGCTCAGCGCGCCGCCCGCCGTCAATGGTGAGTTTAGCCTTTTCCTGACGCGCTATGATAACATGCCGCTGACAAGCCTGAAGTCGGCGTCAAGAGAGACGGCGCCGCTCTGGAAGACAACGATAGGAGGGCTTTCAAGAGAGACGGCGCCGCGTTGGAAGGCAACGATAAGAGGTGGCTCAAGAGAGACGGAGGAGCTGTTTTGAAAGACGACGACAAACGCATTTTCAAGAAAGACGGGGCTGTTCTTGAAGACAATGATAAGCGCTTCTTTTAGGAGGCATGATGGCATTGTGGGTAATGTGCACCTAAAGCCGGAATGAGAAGAGAGACAAGTTCAATTTCAGAGAACTCATTTGAGCATTCCAAACCATGAGAAATCACGCCTTCCTACCGAGGTACTTTAGACCATACAATCCTTGATTGCCGGCCCATTCTCCGCCGCTGCAGTAACGCCAAGCCTATTGCTCTTCGTGACCAGCCGGAGGAGAAAGAGTCGTTGTCCATAACAACAGAGCATGACCCGATTTGAGAACAGCCCAATACAAAAATACCAAAATGTGTGGAGTATGAGGCTGAAGCTTTTCGGCCATCAAAAATGAATCATGGAAAAGATAGAAAAAAGAAGGATAAAAAAATGATTCGTCGCCTGCAGGATTCGAACCTACGCTCCCGAAGGAACTTCCTCAACTGCTAGAGTCAGGTAGCAGGGAAGCACGTTAACCACTCCGCCAAAGCGACTATTTGAATCGAATTCGTTGAAAGATGGAGCTCGGAATGGGGTTTACCCAACCCACTTCTCTCCGCTGCCAAGAGTCTCCCGTTTAAACAGCTGCAACGACTTTCAAACTTCCAAGGGCTACAGTTTCCACGAGACAATCTAACTTCAAAAAATTTATGTCCTTAGAGAAAAAGGGGTTTTTTTTTTGGGAAGTAATGCCAGGCAGGTGTTTCAGACAAAACAACCGCCCGATAAGCAGCAGAGGCCAACTGCACGTTTGTTTGGTGCTCAATTTCGAGTCAAACGAAACGCGATATGGCATTGGCAATGGCGGATATTTCCTAGTTGAATGTCTCAAGATACCACTAGTACACGCCTGTTTTCGCCAGTTTCGAGTTGTAGCTTCAAGTTGGTTCTAACAAGCCGCTGGGAGTGATTTGCATTTATTCTTGGAAGATTGTGCTCATGTCATCTCTCGTGAACAGTCACCATGATGGGTGTCCGCGGCCCGTCCATCATGCCCATGTCAAACTTGGCTTCAAAGTTTGGGTCGCACAACTTGAACTGCCGTGGAAGTTATCATGTTAACGGCGCTCAAAGACAACCAAAAATCGAGGGAAGAGGAAGAAGAGTCAGGACTCACATCAAACAAGGAGATGACAGCCGGAATGACCTTCTTCAGCTCCAGTTCCGCGATATGCCTCCCAAGGCAGATCCGACTCCCCGCGCTCCAGGCGACACTCCCCCTCTCCATGGCCGCCAGCCTCTCCCTCCCCGTCTCGCCATCCTCCAGCAGCCAGCGCTCGGGGCGAAACCTCTCCGGCTCTGCGCCATAAATCTCCTCGTTGCGATGGACCACCTGCCCGATGCACCCGACCACGGTCCCGCCGGGAATGTGGACACCGCCGCTGAGAGTGCAGCCCTGCGGGGGAACCACGCGCTCTAACATGGCGGCGAAGGCAGGGTACATGCGCATGGCCTCCTTGATCACGGCGTCGAGATATGGCAGAGATTCCACCGTGGAGTACCGGACGGGGAAAGACAGACGGGCATCGCGAAGCTCGCGGAGCAGTCGATCCAAAGCTGCAGGCGACTTCATCAGAGAATAAATGATGGTGGTGATTGTTGAGGACGTGGTGTCAGCCCCCGCGGCGATGGTCGAGTTGGCGAGGCCTGTCAACGTTTCGGGCGGGATGGCATCTGGATGCTTCTCGCTGGCCGCCATGTACTTGTCCAAGAGGTCTGGGTGGCTTGTCGTCACGCCCTGCTTGATCAAGTCCCTGCGCGCGTTGACCCGTACGGGACCCTCGCGCGCCCACTGGGAGGGTGGCGTTGTCGACAGCTTGGCCAACAGACCCAAGAGTCCGGTGCTCCAGAGCGGGTTCTGGAAGATGAAGCGTTCGAGGTACGGAACGGGCTGCCAGGCATACCAGTGCCACATGCGCTGGTTGGCGATCATGGACAGGCCCAAGACGTCGCGCTCGTGCAGGAGATGGCCCGGGTTCTCGCCAAAGGCCATCTTGAGCATGGTGTCGAGCTGGAAGAGCTGCATCTGCTCGAAGAGGTTGATGGGCGTGCCCGCGTGGCGGCGCAGGCTCTCGACCAGCGCGTTTATTGTGATGTCGATGTCCTCCTCGTAGTCCTGCATGTTTTTCGTGATGAAGGCGTTGCCGATGGCGCGCCGAACGGCCTTGCTCTTCTCCTCGTCCTGGATCGTCATGATGCTGCCCACCGACTCGCCGTTGATGAAGGCCCTCGCGGTGCCGTATGAGTCCGCCTGAAAGTAGTTTTATAAGTAAACGTGGGAACAGAATATCCATCAAAAACCAGATGATTTTATTAGTTACCTTGGGAAAACTCCCCCGAGGCGAGAACACGGTAGCGACATCGCGGGGATCACTGAAGCTGATGGTGTTGGGGCCGATCCGCACAAGACTCCCGTACTTTTTGTGCAACTTATGCAGCGTCGGCTGAAAGGGCCCAACAAACTGGATTTTGGTTCGCCAGAGATTCGTAAAAGCTGCGGGAAAAGGGCCCTTGATATGCCTGAGCTTCCCATACTGTGCAATGACGGCAAAGGCAGCATAAAAAACTATGGCAGCAACGGCTGCCCCGAACAGCGGTGAAACTGCCATTTTGGACGTTGCACAGTACACAGGGCAATTCAAGAAAGTTTTCAACAGGTCGGGCCTCGTCGGGTTTTTGAGCCACCACTGACACTAAATCCCACCCATGTCTTGGATCCAAAACCTCGGATTCACACTCACACCGACTCGTCGAATCAAAGCCAGCCAAGCAATGTGGCGCATTTTTTCAAGGATGGGGGGTGGCACGGCCTTCTTTCGATGATAAAGGTGCATATGATGCTGCGATTCTGTCATATTTGTGCAAAAGGATCTATCACCCAGAAGGTGATGGATGAGCGGTGACGGAAATGTAACGCGCTTTTTCCCACTCCGGCCCGGCGGCTGGCTGCGTTGTTGGCATCGCGGCCCACTTGGAACCAGCCAGGCCGTGGGTGGCAGTCAGTCATTTGACGGGGATCAACAGCATCATGTTACCATTACTCTTCGCCATGTTGTACTGAATATGTTCTTAGCACCGCGAGTCTAGGTGGCATCTTGTTGGCGCTGTTACTCCCGGTATGCACGATGACGACTGTTCGTCCCTGTCTCGTGCAAATAAGATGCTGAGTTTAATGTTCATGGCGACAGAATGCCAAGGTTTTGGTCTCTATATATCTTACCTACAAGCTACTGACAGACAAGATCTCCATGTTCTAGCGTCATGTAGTTCTACATCTTCCGTGTCGCTTATCTTTACTTCTTGTTGCGCATGAGGCTCGGTTTCGGTTCCTTCGGGTCGTGTGACCTTGGGTGGGAGCAAGGAGCTCTCGAAGGCCAATAACGACGTGCAGGGGAAAAGACACTTCCGCCCTAGCATCCCCCCCAAAAGGGGGAACCCGGGCGAGTTGAAGAAGCCCCGGCATAGCACCATGGCGCCACCCGCACTGTGGGCAGCAAAAGAAATATCCCCCAAAGTCCGAGGGCACCACTTGGGAAGATCAAAAGATCAAAAAGATACAATGTTGCGACCAGAGGGAATCGAACCCCCCCCTCATCCTGGCAACTCAACTCTCAACTCTTGCTAGAGTCGAATTGGAAGGGATGAATCCTAACCACTAGACCATGGACGCTAGAAATAACACAATGGACGGGCTGGGAATCGAACCCAGGACCTTTCGCATCAGGGGAACCGTCTCTTTGAGGGAGACGATGAGATGCTAAGCGAACGCTCTACCAACTGAGCCACACGCCCTATGCTTGTTTGATGCATGGTGTGAGTGGGAAAAGTGTCGAAGAAGGGGGCCGGCGGACCGGGACAGAGTTTTGTGGCGGTGGAGTTGAGATGGGTTTTTTCCCTCCCGGTGGAGTTCCGATTCGGAGCGGGTCGGCAAAACCCGGCGATGCCGGAAGCTCAAAGGGACGCTGAGAGTCTTTACAGTGTCTGATTGGGCGTTTGAGCATCTAGGTGGATTGCTTCTGCGGTGGAACTTGGGCGTGCTTTGTACAGTTTAGGTTGACATTTAAAGGGGCAGGGTTAGGGTTGGTTATGGCAAATTCTCACGTTGCGGCTTTGCGATCAGCATGCTCATTCCCAACATGATCCAAAATCTTTATCCTCTCATCCCAGATGCCACTCCAAAAAAAATTGACGCTGAGCTACTACAGCCCTTGAATTCTCAGCAGCCACACGTAATCGCCCCTTCGCTAGCTACCTTCCTCGCAGCCAGTGCATTGCAACTCATCAGGCACCAGACTCGGAAACGTAAACTGATATCAATTCTCATGATCCACCTGGGTGTTGAAGCTCCAGGGGCTCATATGAAAAAAAGGTCTAAGTACTTAGGTAGTACCTACGTAGAAGAGAAGAAGAAAAGAATCGCATCCCCCATAACTTCAGCACAAGCCCCTTCCCCCTTCAAGCTTCGTTGCGCCACTCTATGAGCCGTGACGGATCTTGCGAGTCTTCCGCCGTTTTATCCGCTGTCTGGTCCACCCGGACGGTTCTTGGTGCGAATTCCTCACCAAACGCAAATGCCGACCTGTTGATATGGATTGTCAGTTCGATAGTCCCTTGCGATGACGGCTGGAGCTTTTCTATATTAGGATTGTTATTGCAGGAGCTATTATTGTCACTTACAGACTTGGGCTTGCACTTCCACGACTCGATTCTATCGCCCCAAGCGCCGTTGCCGTCGTGGAGGTTGAGGTCTTGTCCACTGACGGGCGTGTAGTGATTTCCGCTGCAACCTTGGTTCCTGCAAAATGCCTACGTAAGATTCGGGGATGCTAAGATGGGGCGGAAAAGGGGGGATGGGGGTTGCGCGCTTACTCCCACCAACGGCAGCAATAATTAGTGTTACTCTCAATGGAGCTGATCTGGTTGCGGTATTCCTCGAGAACGTTGTCTAGGACACACCGAGTTAATCCCCAGGTCATTACATCTTTGTTTATATCTCATATATACGACGCCATTCTCAGGCTGCGGGGAAACTTACAGCACTGGTTCAGCTGAATGTTCGGTGGGGTGCGGCAAATTCCGCCCCGGAAGATATCGGTGCAATAGCGGACGAGCCAGTCCTGCCGTTTTCCCACTGGCTGGACTAGGCTTCGGTCCTTCAGAGGGACAACATCATCGACGGCGGCCTCCTCCGCCAAGGTGGAGATGGCTGAAGCGGAGGCAAGGCCGAAGGTCAATGCCATGGTGACGAGAAACTTGACGTTGACCATTTTGTCTTGTTCGAATGAAGTCGACAGTTGCCGGAGATAAAAAAAGATTTTGGCGTTTGAATAAAGGTGTAATAGACCTTGATGATGAAAAGAGCAAGCGTGGTGGGGCTGGAAAAGAAAGTCTATCCAGTTCCTCGAGGACAGTGCTCCTTATATACCTGTACTAGTATTCATCTGTCAGGCTTTGGGAGCCTGAGAGAGCGGGAAAAGCCAAGACTCCCCTCCGTTTCCAAGAAGCAAAGGATACGGAACCGGCGATGACCAAGCTGCAACATCACTGACTAAATCTGACCTTCAAGCTGGCCTCGCCGCTAGTGAAGATAAGACGAATCTCAATTGGTGATACTTCCAGCTGAGGAAGTACCTTGGTAAGAACGAAGTTGGACAAAAGAAGCTTTGAGTGAGCGAATATCTCTTTTACAAGATTCTCTGTTCTCAATACCAGGCACAAAAGCTAACCGGGATAATGGCTGATTCCGTTATAGTTATATTAGACCTTCTCTTCATTTTCTTCTCTGAAGCTTCATCATGACATTGCTGTGACCCAAAGATGGATCGTACACCAAATCTAAGGGTGACTTCCGCACAAGTAGTAATGCACTGATACCGAGCACCAGTCTCAAATTAAATTATATGTGCTGCCAAGGATGATCACATCAGTACACATAGGGGGCGATGGTAGACTGACAAACCTTCTGGGCCCTGCTTTTGGTAAGTCGGCAATAGGTAGTACCTTGCATTGCGATCCTAGAATTGGGTAGGTAGTTGACATGGTTACAATGAGAGGGGTCTCAATGTCGCTGCACGTCCGCTGATGCACCCTTTCGCAACTGACTAGCGAGGATTGGGACTGCTGACAACGAGATAGAGGGGCAATGTGGTTACACCGGAGGTGCAAAATATCACCGAACTCTAAAGCACTCGATATCTTGGAGTATTATCCACTTTCAGCCCAATGCACTAGAAACTACCATGAATGGCAAGTCCCACCTGTCAGCTTCATGCTGCCAATGCGGACAGGGGAATGACTCTGCCCTGACACAGACCGGGGCTGACCTCTATGAGCTCACGATTACTAATGAGTGGTGCCACGACGCCAACGTGAAGCCTATGTAGCTAAAATCGTGAAAAGAGTTGTTTCATAACGGAAAACAACTCTGACAATCGCGGGAGAGATATAAGAATAAAATTTTATTTGAACTGCAAATTCTTGTTGTGCCTCGTACGGTCTTCGAATCAGATCCTACACAATGTGTGTCGTAGTTGCAATAAGCTGCCTTCCCCTTGTCAAGCACATGCACGGTAGTTTTGTACATGGATCTGTCATGTTATCATCTGTCATGTTCATAAGCGCAGTGCTTATCAGATAAATGCCAAGGTTGCTTCAAAACCAACAGCGACCATCAAGTTAGCCAGGCAGTCAGCTCGTAATGTCCCCACTGTTGAATACCCTGAGGCCATAATTAACACTTCGTGCTTTTAAGATAGTTACTTCTGACAACACGAACCTCACCATAGGTATTCTCATCATCTTATATTTCGGACGTTCAAATGGTCCGATTATACCTCTAGAGTTCGCTTGAGAACAAATCCATGCTGCGCAGCGCATTGCTCAGTCCCCGACTCCAGTTCGTCGGGCCCAGGCCCAGGTCTAGACCGGGTCATTTCCAGTTGGCCATTGTGTTCTTAGCGGGGATGTGGTAAACAATGGAGCGCAATGTTAATTTGATCCAATCGGCAAAGAAGAAGACCTTTTTTTGCCAGGGGTTCCCTACTTCAGGCTGGGTGTTTTCTCTGAGTCGCGTTCACGCATTGCCAAAGGGGAAAATCTCTGCCGGCACTATTGTCAATGGCGGGTGGATACAGCTTATTATACGAATCATCCAGGGAGACAAACTCGGGCGCCCAAGAGCTGGAGATGGATGTCTTTGTCAATGGGTGTACAGTCTTTGCGTCTTCGTTTTTGTTCTTCCATCTATCCTCACACATTCCTCTTACACGCCACCCTCTTTTTTGTGTTGTGGACTTTTTTGGTCCACGTCCGCTCATTTCAAGATGCCGATGATTGCGCCGCACAACGCTTACAGCCCGCTGTGCACGTTCAGCCAGTGCCTGCAGCAGGTTGCTGGGCAAGTTGACCGCAATGCGGCGGATCAGTTTGCCGCGTGCACCTCTCTGTTTGGAGCACCAGTGATCTTGACATCCACTCCGCCCGTAGATGTTGCTTTTGCCACGGCGACAACAACCGTCGAGTACACCGAGATAATCGTCTCGCTCACCACGACGACGTCGACGTACGAGAGCCTAGTGACCTCGTACACCGACGTGTTCGAGACCACCACCGAGTACACCACGACTCAGGTCAACCTTGTGACGACGACGACAACTCCGTCAGTCGGCATCCCCGCCAAGAAGAAGCGAGATGGCAAAAAGGCGCGGCGCGGCGCGTGCAAGCCTTCGTCAGCTCTGTCATCATCGGCATCTTCATCAGCGGCCGAGGTCTCCTCGACCCTACCTGCTCCGCTGTTCCCCATCGCATCCAACTGCCCCAGCCTAGAGGAGTACTCGTCGGCCTGCGCATGCATCAACGCGGTGAGCACCACATCCGTCGTGACCGAGCCAGCCGCCGTCTCCACGTCGACCATCTACGAGACGGTCAGCAGCGCCATCCCGTCCACGTCCGTGTCGGCCGTCACCGTGGCCGTGACGACAGTCATCGTCAAGCCCGCCACGTCGACGCTCACCTCCACAATCCAAACCGGCACCGCGACCACGTCCACCGTCGTCTCGACCGCCGCCGCGCCCGTGCAGACGGCGCAGCTCATCATCAACAGCGGCCCTCGGGCTAGCTACCGCCTCATCCGGAACGCCGCCAACGGGTACATCGCATTTGGCACGGGAACCGGCACCAACATCGCCATCTTTCCCAGCAGCGGCCAGCAGCCGTACCTCTCGGGCCAGCCCGGCTGGAAACTGTATCTGTACAATCTCACCACCGGCTACGGCCCCATCACTTTCCTGCCCGACGCCCAGGTAACGGCTTCCCACTCAGTGGTGACGTGTTCGTTTAGCGGCTCGACCGGCATCGTCGGCTGCCAGTCGTCCAACGGCTACTTTACCATCTTCCAGTGCGGGACGTACATGTACATGGCGCCGCCATCTTGGATTTATGCAGGGTGCACTGCTGTCGATATTAAAGTGGCTTCTGCGGTGGCTCCTGCGGTGTACATGTAAGAGCAGGAGAATCGAGTTTAAATCAAGCACCTACGTAGCATGTGGGTGCGAGTAACTTGTAATTTGTTTGGTGTTGTGGTGGTTGCTCGAAAATATCCATGAAGGTAGAATTGATGTTGCCGGCGCTTTGAGCAAGTTGACCGTAGCCGCGTCATGTCTGCGTCGAGACAAAATTTAGAAAGCACCAAGGAAAACAGACGACTGTTTAGGTAATTGAAGGTGGGGGAAAGTTGACACCACAACAAGGGGGGTGGTCGAAATGGCAAAAATGCAAATTCTCAAAGTCGTGGG